AGATTTCTCAAAGCTATTCTGTAGAGTTTTTCATGGCCAGTCTGACGTGCATGTTTCATAAAATATCATTATTAGTATCCCTGCCAGGAGGCTCATCAGAGACCTCTCGGTGTTGCCAACTGATGTCTTTAAACTTTTTGTATAGTGAGATGTTACTCTCCCATATAGACCTTACTGTGTTTAGAATGGACCAAAGACAGCCTATTTCCTAAAGGGCTTTGCATTAGCTGCGGGCCTTCTGGTCCAAAACTCTCACAGGATCTCACATTTTTTAACCTGTTGTTAGGCAAATTGTATCGATTCGACAGCAGAGCCTGCTGCAGTATTTGCAGGAGAAGTGAAAAAGATGCAGGCTGAGAAAATGAAACCTCAGGAACAGTTAACATTGGAGCCATACGAGAGAGATCACGCTGTGGTGGTTGGAATTTACAGGTACGATTAATATTTACTGTAGTTGGCTTGGAGAATATTATTACAACAATATTTTGTTGATCAGGATCTAAAGATCAAACTCTGATAATTAAGACAGTGTTGCTGAAGCACTGGGAGTTTGCAAAAATCTTAGTATTCGGTTTATTCATACATATGCAGTGTATATCTCTTACATGGAAGTACTGTTTCTCAAACAGCATTACTCATATTAAACCAGACAATGCTTGATATGCCCTAAAATCCCATGTTACAGTCCCCCCCGGTTATAAGCCCTTCTATTTGCTAACAAAGATATTCCGAATATGCATCAACATTTTTAATCAAAAGTTATAAGTCTAATATGGTAACAGTGCAAGAGCTCTAAAAGTAATGGTTTGTTAGCTTTAATACATTTCTCAGATACGTTTTATCTTGTTCCAAAATATATTTTTTTTATTCTGCTCATATCCCCCCCCCCAGATATAATTCCCCCCCCCCTCATTTACAAGCCCACCTAAAACCCCTTATGAAGTTATATAAGCCCAGGACTTTAACATGGGATTTTACTGTTCACTAAAGCATCCCTTTCTTCTTCTTATATGCAAGACTGATTGTAACTTCTGCAATGGTCTTAAACAATTAAGAGCAGTTTTCAACTGAGTGTGGTAAAACCAAAACCAAAGTTATCACTCCTACCAATCACAGAGGATGCAAACAATCCATTGAACCAATCAAAACCCGCAGAAATGTGCACTAGTGAGTCATGATTGCTTGTGGTTTTACTTCTGACTGGATGTAAAAATGACACAAATTTTTAAGACAATCATGTTAAGTGTTAGTGATGCTAAACCAATTACTTTCCTGACATTCAAATGAAAACTACCCTAAGTTAACAAAGGAAATGTTAAACTGTTTTAGAAATTATATAAAATGGAAGCAGCTTAGACTACCATGTGAGGAGCACTTTGCATTTCACTTAGCTAGCACTGATTAGTACATGTTTCTTTTATAATAAATGAAGTTTTTTTTTATTTTTTGTTTTTTTGCAGACCTCCACCGAAGAAAGACAAACAGTAGCATTGTAGGATTTTATTGTAACTTATCTCACATTTTGAAATGAAAGTCATTGATTTATCTATTTCTTAGAAATCAAACAAACCTTGCATCTGTGCCAAGTAAATTCAAGGAAGCAGTTTCTTGTAACATGATTGGCAGTGTATAGGTTTAAGCCTATCTGATGCATGGTGTTTTATATGTTATTGTAAGTTATGCCTTACTTGAACATCACACAGTACAGGACATCTTGGTTTGTTTTTTTCACATGTGCATAATCTAAGCTCAAATCTGTTATCAACCTGCAAGCAAACATGCTTCATCGAGTGAATGTTGTGTTTTATTTACTGTAGTACCCACACAAAGTTTCAGAATATGTAATTTTTACAAGAAATCTGCATTTATATTGAATGACTGTGTGGAAAAATTCTGTCTGGAGGATTTGTGCAAGAAACGAACAAAAATCTTACTGTCCATAACTAGTACATTGTACTTTTAAGAATAACTAGAGTGAGTTGTATTAAAAAAAAATTATATACATACACTGTAGTTATATTTTTTGTGCTATAGTAAATGTACAGTTATATTTCAAAACTTGGAATATGATGATTTTATCATTTGTCTTCTTAATAAAATGTAAGGTGTCCAGTAATGAACTGCTAGCATGGTTTTTTGGATAAATATTAGAAATTATAGGACTGTAGAGAAATGAACTTGGAGGGCAACCAAGGTCTCTCATGTTCGCGCCCCCAGCCGCTCTGGTGAATTTAGGATGCCAGAGAAAATAATTTGTAGGTTTTTGATTATATTTAGATGTCCCCAATTGGTAGAGGGGTGTTTCCCCATCGGCTAAATATTTTGACACGTGAATAAAGTTTATGTATGTATTAAAAGACGGGATGTAGGATAAAAATATTTTGGCAGCCTTGGGATTTGCTTATTATTTTGCAGACGGGATGCGAGATTTTTAAAATTGACGGCGGGGTGTAGGATAAAGAACAGTAACTCACATGTTACACACGTTACGCGGAGAACTGCGACACTAACCAGGCGGGATCAGGATAAACATTCTGAGAGAAGCGGGATGGTGGAATTGAAAAAAACCTATGTTGGACCCTCTTTACATAAACTTCTGGTGACAGTTCTTTCTTGAACTTATTTTGGTATTTAAACCGCCCTGTTCTGCCCTTTTTTTCCAAGGACTTATGCGTCCAATGGCGCGATGAGGACTGATGATTCTGCCCTTTTGATTTTTGGGGGTCAGAATTTTGGCTGGTCACGCATTCCTAGGACGTGACGAGCCAACGCACGTACGCATGGTAAAGCTACAATAGTCGCTGTAAGGCCGAAAGGAAATGTCTTGTCGAGAACAAAAAGTAGCGTTGCCCCGATGTTTGAATTTTGATCTTTTTTAACGTGCAAAACTACTTCAAAAAAAAAAATTAAAATAACAGTAGAGACAGGAAGAATATGCCGAAACCCGAGTGATGATAAACGTGCGGTCAAATCCAGACGTGACGACGTTTCCTGACATCTTCCACAACACAAACTGGCATGACCTCCCGAACGTCTTCCACGTAACATCCCAATGCTTCCTTCCGGGCTATGTAAATGGGATCACGCCACAAACCAAGGCGGTTTAGAATGGTATAAAAGGACTTATAGTACCCCTTCCGCTTCATGTGTTTCGTCATTCTAGGCTGACCAAACGCTCTCAAACGGGACGGCAGGGTTTCACTAAAGAGAACACATGGGGACGAACGACAATAGACGCACATTTCATGCGTGACAGATGCGTGTGCTTCATTGATGTTCGGAGGATTTTGTGTCTGTCTGGTCTCGATCTCTTGTCTAACGACCTCGCGCTGCAGCTCGACACATTTTGCTGGTGTATTGTCCACGGCTTCGTTTTCTTCGGAAACTGTCAAAGAAAGCAAGATTATATCGATGCGTGAGAACATAACCTGTGTCGAACTCAGTGGTAAAGCGCTACTAAAGGACATCGTTAGAGAACGTTGCAAATGGCGGGTAAAATTATGTTTCAGCAAACTAAACATGCCAAGAAAGAATTTCGTTGTTAGAAGAAAAAGGCATACAAGTTAGATTAAAAAGTCTGGCCCAAAATATCGTGCAGAAATATTTATCCACTGCTTTGCAAACGGGGGCAATGAATATTTATGCTTCACGCTCTGACAGTATTCTACAATACCCACTGAAAGCGGACTTGAGATTACAAATAGAACAATTATCCGCATAGCCATTGCGAATAGTGGTACAATATCAGTTTATAATCCTGTTGTAAATATGATTCCTTGAAAAGTAAACTAACCTGGCGTTTATTTTTTCTTTCGTGGTTTCTCTATACGAACGATCTCCCCGTTGTTCACGGTAAGCCAACCGGTGAGCTCATCGATTAAAGATTCATCCAATAAAATAGTAATCTGAGAAGTACTACTTGGTGTTAGATAAAGATATTTCATTTTTATGGCAAGTAAAGACAGCAAAGACACTTTAATTCACTTACAGCTTACCTTTCGTCTATTCAAATCGCCCGCTATTTTGAATTTGAAGGGAAGACTTCCTTTTATTATATGGCTAGCTCCGTGAGCGGGCAAGATGAATCAAATCCTGTAAATCATTGCGAAATAAGTAGCTAAAAGTTTTTGGTTAGGAGAGGGTAACGACTTTGTCATTTTCACTGTCAGTTCGCGTGATACTTCGCACGTACGTAGTTTGATACGTGACTGTCTGGACGCATCTTTCGTCACGAAACCAAAGCATTTTTTTTCTTTTATGAGTAACATAGAAAACCTGTAAACTATTGAGAAATGAGAAGTAAGCAGCTAAGGGTTTCTTTGGAAGGAAGAGGGTAACGACTTAGGTAAGGTACGTTCTCCAGCTCCACTGTCTTTAAAATATGTAACAACTCGCGTGATGTTTCGATCGCACGTGTGTGGCTGCATGCGTGACGGTATGGACGCCTCTTACGTCATGAAACTGTCACAGCATGTAAAAGCCGTTGCAGTGTGCGTCATTACAGTCCAGGAAAATAAAACCATTCATGCTGTTACTCGACATTTTTGATATCGTCACTCGCTGAGCACATCTGGTTGGAACAAAGACCTTTCAACAGAAATCAAGCGTCAACATGGCATCAAATCTCCTCTTTTGGTTTGTACTAATTAGCACATGGCTCGTATTTACAAGTTCTTGGAGTTTATGCCCGAGGATTTTTTTCCAAAACATCAACGAAAAAACTACGCCGTACAAAATGATCGAAGGGGTCTATACAAGAACGAAGGACTTCTACAATAACTTTCCTGTGTATCAAAGAGAGAACGTTCATAACCTGGGACTCTATTACTATCCGGACAAGAATGGTGACAAACTTTTAACTTTTGGAAACGATCGCGGTGATGGTTTCTTTCACCATTATGGCCTGGCTGCTAGACTTAACAGGGATCCCACGTCATGGCTGCTTTCTTCCTTAGACAAGAATAATGTATTTGGTGGACTTGTCGAGGAATGGATATACTACAACCTTCGCAATAAAACAAATTACGTTGTGCCTGTAGATGCTTCCTCTCCTGTGATCAAAGCTGTGTGTGTGGACAAGGACTTCAGAGAATGTAACTCGGACAGAGTCTACTTGAACCAGCGCCTCCACGATACAAGTGGGACCATTTGGAATGATCCCACAACAGACTATTTCTATCGCATGGAGGGCTCGTTTCGCGATCTTCGTCCTATCTATAAGCACAGCGCTATACCGTCGTTTTACCTGCTGTATGTGGACGGCTACTGGGTAGTGACTAGCTCGTATAGACGGGCAAACTCTGAAAACGCCATGCTGAGAGTTAAAGATTTCGCACTGAGGCCTGAATACATCACGAAGACTTGGTGGCAATGGTCGCATGGATGGCGTGACATGCGTAGTCTCAGAGTTTTGTGTCGGGGCGTGACTTCGATGGCTAACATCTGTCCGTCAAAGCCATGTGGTAGCAATAGCACTTGCGTTTACACTTCCGGTAACGAAACGCTCTGTCTCTGCCGTTCCGGATACACAGGAGTTAAATGCTCGGTCAACAAACAGTGCCCAGCTCGATATCAAAAACCTGATACGGAGCTCAACTTTGAAAACCTGGGAAATCGCCCCGGGGATCTTGGCATGACTTTCTGCAGTGAGTCGTATCCATCTTTGAGGTATTACCTCTGTGTGGATGGCATTTACACTTCACACTGGAGAGGACAAGGATCATCGATCTGTACAAGAAAGGAACCGAGTATCACTGTTACCGCACCTTCACAACTTGTGTTTTTATTTCTGCAAACTACAGGCACGCCCCAGGCTATGCCTAACTTCAAGGACTACCTTTTTGTATTCCCACTCGCCATCGTTCTGCAAGTTTTTCTCCCGGTCGCTTTCATAATCTTTGCTGTCTGCAAGAGGAGGAGCCAGGAAATCAGAGATTACCGCGCGAGGGTGGAACATCACCGTCAGGTTGGCCATGAGCTGGGCAGACTGCCGAGAGTTACTGCAACAGGCGGTCAAGGGGGGCCCAACCAAGGCGATCAACAGTCACAGCAGGCCGGTCAGGAATACCTCGGCCTCCACAGATCCAAAGATGTCAATGTAAGCCGGATTATTTCCATGGACATGTACTTCTCATTCTACCTATGGCTTGTCTTCCTCATCGGTTGCGATGCGTCGCACTGCACCATGTACGGTGAGGTCTTCAACATGTTGAGAATCATGGCTATTGTGATGCTTTGTGTCTCTCCTGCGTTCGTCCTGCTAGAGAGTTTCTTCTGCCATGAACTGGACTACCTCAAAAACATCATAGAAGACGAATCCGCTTCAGAGTACATAGAAAGAATGCGCGAAGTGCCACCGAAAATTGACATTGTCGTCGAGTGCTTTCATTTCGAAACAGACACGCGAATTGTGCACTACAGAGACGCCAGTGGAAACAGACATTCCCGCACGGAGCCCTTGTACCTCGACAGGAAAATAGTGACCTTTGTGGACCATGAAGAGTTCTCTTTTGGTTCATGGATTGACGTTTCCAGGAGGGAAATATCTGCACTGACAGACGCAACTCTAACCCGGTTCGAGATCGACTCGAGTATTCAATTCGGCGACCAGGAAACCGCGAACGCTTACAACTGGCAAGTAGCAGAAATGGTGCGGCGAAATCTTCATCGAGACGTCTTAATAGACCATGTACAGCACTCGACGAAAGAAATTCCAGGGTTAAAGAAGCGCGTCTCCGCGTTCAAAGACTTGACGGTGAAGCCGTTCTGGATGCGCCCGCTGTTCTTCTGGATTGCCACCCTGTTGGGCATGACTTGGCCCTACCGTTGGCTATTCAGGGCCAAGACAGCCAAGAAACTGTTCGTCTTAAAGAAAATGGTGTACAAAAGCACAACGCCATCAAGGGACGTGGATCTCCACGCAGCTGGTGAAACATCGTCTGTCGTGAATTCCAGAGGTACAGACAACACTTGCACAGATTACACAATGTCGGTGATAAAAAATATTTTTGGCGCTGCTAACTCACTTCACAACCAAAATGCCGCAGCCTTGTCAGGCTTGTCTCTTCCTTTTCCAGCGGAACTACACCCGAATGTGCCTCTGTCATCGATTTTTGCGATGATGAATAACCCATCCCCGGGCAGCAGTGCGCCATATTCACCTTTCAGTACTTATGCCGGGCCTGTGTTTCCTCCTTATACTGCAGCATACGTGCCAAGGGTACCCCCGCCATCGTACGAGGCATCTCAGGGTAGCCTTGATCCGGAGCCAAGCAAAGAACAATGAAAACAGAAGACGAAAATTTGAGACTCGGTCTTCGCGCAGTAAAGCGTTTCTGATGACCCTAGTAACAGCTGCAAAGGATACTTATAAGGGATAGGTTAAAATTTAAAACTGTAGAGGATAACTACATTCAGCAAGCAATAGAACATCACTCGTAAGGGGTAGACCATTTTGAGAAATAGGTATCCGGCTAACATACTTGTATCAAAAAAAAAAATTCATGCATGCAACCACTAGCACTGCCGCGAAAAAAGATTTCACGCACTTTCAGTGAGCCGAAAAATGCATGATATACGGAGGGGGAAAAAAATTATATACATACCCACATCCCGAGTTAAAAAATTCCTAGTCCATGAAAGGGTGAAAAAAATTAATACCAAAACCAAATCAGCTAGCCCCTCCCCCCTCAAAAGTTAAATGGTCCACCCCTAAGGAAATGTTACGTCGTGAAAATTAACTTATCATGGCTGAAGTAAATCAAGAAAGGAGGATTAGGATATGGCTTCAAATGAGAAACTATGTTCTCAAACTCATTAACAATTCATCATATATCTGATCTTAATTAGCATAGGCTTTTACGATTTTAACTCTCCATTTTCTCCTTGATTTTAGTTTCGATTGAGAAGATATATCAAACACGAAAGACAGTGTTTGACCACATTTCCAAACACCTCGAAGTTCGTCAAAATGATACTCCGCTGCGCGTCGTATTTTCAACTCTCTTCTCGGTGTTTGGAAATGTGGTCAAACACAACCTTTGTGTTCCACATTTTACATTGCGTGTTGATTTATAATTTGAGTACTACTGCCCTTAGAACCACTTTGACAATCAAAACCAATCGCACGATGCAGAGCGGGACACAGGATTTCAAGAAATTCCCTTTGAAATGTTAGATTTTAATGCATCTAATCAGCTGGACGGTTTAGTTCTTTGTCAAAGTGGTCCAGATTATAGCAGTCTTAACTTCAATTCAGGTTGTTAAACCAGGCAAAATTAGTCATGAATGAAAAATAGACAGACTTATTAAATTAAGATATTGCCTTTGCATTGCATTGCTTCCAAGCAACAGAACATTTCTTGCTACAATTCACTTTTTGTTCATTAGATACCAGGCAGGTCCAAAAAGTAGAGATTGAGCCGATCTCGTCTCCAGGGCTACTCGATTGTCGTTGTGGCTAACGGAAAGAGGACTCTGGGAAGTTTGGGAACGAGAATGAAATGGGGCGCAAGTTAAGTTGTAGGATGCGCGAGCAGAAAAATACGTGCGAGGATAAATAACGCGTGAATTAACAAATCGAATTTGGTTTAGCGTGGTCTGTATTGTTATCGACAACGATACGCGTCATCACAGTGGTCAAAATGTTGTGGACTCAAGAGAGCCGAGTGAGTCCACAACAAATTTTGACCACTGTGATGACGCGTATCGTTGTCAATAACAGTACAGACCAGGCTAAACCACGTTTCGATTTGTTTTTTTACCACAATATCAACGTCAAAGAAAATGCTTTTTTCAGAGAGCGAGCTGAAAAAGGCATCGCGTGACATATTGACGTGAGCAGCGTTGTCTGGTCTCTTATCGACAACGGCAAATTAGCCAATCAGATTGCGAGATTAGTAGCAATTGTGGTAAAAGCGTTTTCCCTCAGGCTCGCGGGTAGTCTTGGTTATCAGAAACTCTAGTGTACGTTCCACTTGCTCCTGGCTGCTATGCTAACAGACCAGAGAAGCCATGAAAAGGAAAAAGATCTGAATGATTTAATCAATAACAACAACAACCAACCATTTATTTCCAAAAAACTAAACAAATAGATAAATAGAGATTATGGAATAAGTACCGGTAATACAGGAAATAACTGAGTAACTTGATAAGGCTCAAATAAGACTATTCAGAAAGGTGAATACTAAATAGTCACATAAATTTAGTAACTTCATTAAGCTTGTAAAATACAAGGCAGGAAAAAAAAATATAATTAAATAAGTAAANGTCCTCCATGTAACATCCCAATGCTTCTTTCCGGGCTATGTAAATGGGATCGTGCCATAAACTGCAGCGGTTTAGAATGGTATAAAAGGACTTATAGTCCCCCTTCCACTTCACGTGGTTCGTCATTCTAGGCTGACCAAACGCTCTCAAACAGGACAGCAGGCTTTCACCGAAGAGAACACAAGGGGACGAATGACAATATACACACATCTCATGCATGACAGATGCGTGTGTTTCATTCATGTGCGGAGGATTTTGTGTCTGTCTGGTGTCAATCTCTTGTCTAACGACCTCGTGTTGCAGCTCAACACATGTTGCTGGTGTTTTGTCGGCGGCTTCGTTTTCTTCAGAAACTGTCAAAGAAAGCAAGATGATATCAATGCGTGAGAACATAACCTGTTTCAAACTCAGTGGTAAAGCGCTACTAAAGGACATCATTAGAGAACGTTGCAAATGGCAGGTAAAATTATGTTTCAGCAAACTTAACATGCCAAGAAAGGATTTCGTAGTTAGAAGAAAAAGGCATACAAGTTAGATTAAAAAGTCTGACCCAAAATATCGTGCAGAAATATTTATCCACTGCTTTGCAAACGGGGGCAATGAATATTTATGCTTCACGCTCTGACAGTATTCTACAATACCCACTGAAAGCGGACTTGAGATTACAAATAGAACAATTATCCGCATAGCCATTGCGAATAGTGGTACAATATCAGTTTATAATCCTGTTGTAAATATGATTCCTTGAAAAGTAAACTAACCTGGCGTTTATTTTTTCTTTCGTGGTTTCTCTATACGAACGATCTCCCCGTTGTTCACGGTAAGCCAACCGGTGAGCTCATCGATTAAAGATTCATCCAATAAAATAGTAATCTGAGAAGTACTACTTGGTGTTAGATAAAGATATTTCATTTTTATGGCAAGTAAAGACAGCAAAGACACTTTAATTCACTTACAGCTTACCTTTCGTCTATTCAAATCGCCCGCTATTTTGAATTTGAAGGGAAGACTTCCTTTTATTATATGGCTAGCTCCGTGAGCGGGCAAGATGAATCAAATCCTGTAAATCATTGCGAAATAAGTAGCTAAAAGTTTTTGGTTAGGAGAGGGTAACGACTTTGTCATTTTCACTGTCAGTTCGCGTGATACTTCGCACGTACGTAGTTTGATACGTGACTGTCTGGACGCATCTTTCGTCACGAAACCAAAGCATTTTTTTTCTTTTATGAGTAACATAGAAAACCTGTAAACTATTGAGAAATGAGAAGTAAGCAGCTAAGGGTTTCTTTGGAAGGAAGAGGGTAACGACTTAGGTAAGGTACGTTCTCCAGCTCCACTGTCTTTAAAATATGTAACAACTCGCGTGATGTTTCGATCGCACGTGTGTGGCTGCATGCGTGACGGTATGGACGCCTCTTACGTCATGAAACTGTCACAGCATGTAAAAGCCGTTGCAGTGTGCGTCATTACAGTCCAGGAAAATAAAACCATTCATGCTGTTACTCGACATTTTTGATATCGTCACTCGCTGAGCACATCTGGTTGGAACAAAGACCTTTCAACAGAAATCAAGCGTCAACATGGCATCAAATCTCCTCTTTTGGTTTGTACTAATTAGCACATGGCTCGTATTTACAAGTTCTTGGAGTTTATGCCCGAGGATTTTTTTCCAAAACATCAACGAAAAAACTACGCCGTACAAAATGATCGAAGGGGTCTATACAAGAACGAAGGACTTCTACAATAACTTTCCTGTGTATCAAAGAGAGAACGTTCATAACCTGGGACTCTATTACTATCCGGACAAGAATGGTGACAAACTTTTAACTTTTGGAAACGATCGCGGTGATGGTTTCTTTCACCATTATGGCCTGGCTGCTAGACTTAACAGGGATCCCACGTCATGGCTGCTTTCTTCCTTAGACAAGAATAATGTATTTGGTGGACTTGTCGAGGAATGGATATACTACAACCTTCGCAATAAAACAAATTACGTTGTGCCTGTAGATGCTTCCTCTCCTGTGATCAAAGCTGTGTGTGTGGACAAGGACTTCAGAGAATGTAACTCGGACAGAGTCTACTTGAACCAGCGCCTCCACGATACAAGTGGGACCATTTGGAATGATCCCACAACAGACTATTTCTATCGCATGGAGGGCTCGTTTCGCGATCTTCGTCCTATCTATAAGCACAGCGCTATACCGTCGTTTTACCTGCTGTATGTGGACGGCTACTGGGTAGTGACTAGCTCGTATAGACGGGCAAACTCTGAAAACGCCATGCTGAGAGTTAAAGATTTCGCACTGAGGCCTGAATACATCACGAAGACTTGGTGGCAATGGTCGCATGGATGGCGTGACATGCGTAGTCTCAGAGTTTTGTGTCGGGGCGTGACTTCGATGGCTAACATCTGTCCGTCAAAGCCATGTGGTAGCAATAGCACTTGCGTTTACACTTCCGGTAACGAAACGCTCTGTCTCTGCCGTTCCGGATACACAGGAGTTAAATGCTCGGTCAACAAACAGTGCCCAGCTCGATATCAAAAACCTGATACGGAGCTCAACTTTGAAAACCTGGGAAATCGCCCCGGGGATCTTGGCATGACTTTCTGCAGTGAGTCGTATCCATCTTTGAGGTATTACCTCTGTGTGGATGGCATTTACACTTCACACTGGAGAGGACAAGGATCATCGATCTGTACAAGAAAGGAACCGAGTATCACTGTTACCGCACCTTCACAACTTGTGTTTTTATTTCTGCAAACTACAGGCACGCCCCAGGCTATGCCTAACTTCAAGGACTACCTTTTTGTATTCCCACTCGCCATCGTTCTGCAAGTTTTTCTCCCGGTCGCTTTCATAATCTTTGCTGTCTGCAAGAGGAGGAGCCAGGAAATCAGAGATTACCGCGCGAGGGTGGAACATCACCGTCAGGTTGGCCATGAGCTGGGCAGACTGCCGAGAGTTACTGCAACAGGCGGTCAAGGGGGGCCCAACCAAGGCGATCAACAGTCACAGCAGGCCGGTCAGGAATACCTCGGCCTCCACAGATCCAAAGATGTCAATGTAAGCCGGATTATTTCCATGGACATGTACTTCTCATTCTACCTATGGCTTGTCTTCCTCATCGGTTGCGATGCGTCGCACTGCACCATGTACGGTGAGGTCTTCAACATGTTGAGAATCATGGCTATTGTGATGCTTTGTGTCTCTCCTGCGTTCGTCCTGCTAGAGAGTTTCTTCTGCCATGAACTGGACTACCTCAAAAACATCATAGAAGACGAATCCGCTTCAGAGTACATAGAAAGAATGCGCGAAGTGCCACCGAAAATTGACATTGTCGTCGAGTGCTTTCATTTCGAAACAGACACGCG